AACCACTCGACCACCAAACTTGTCAGGGCCGTCTGGCCGGTCCGAGTAAGATGTAGCAGCAGACAGTGTTACTTTGCATCCGGGAGATGTTAATTTTAATTACAGGTTTTGCCCTTACACCGATGTACACATTGCAAGTGCAAAACCTGTTAATTAAAATTAACATCTCCCCAATGCAAAGTACATCTTGAAAAATGTACACTTCAACCATCCCGGTCCAACACTTAAAGTAATGATTTATACTCTTTACTACCTGCATATGCTTAGCAGCAACAGTGTGTAATCAAGGTGTACTGGAACTCTAAGTCAATCATGTGTGAAGAACAGAACACTAAGGAGATTAAAAAATGTCTAACAAAAACATCAGGGCAATCAGACAAAAAGCTGTTAAAATGTCTCACAAATTAAAACCATTATAAAACAGCCAAGGCGTGTGATGCCAAAGTAAGATCTTTACAAGCTAAGTGGTTTCCAAATTAGAGTAACAAACCGTTCTAATTAACTTGCTTGATTTCTATGAAGAAACGATTTCACTTCAGGGTTTTTGATCCATTATGAAAGAGATTGAAGAACCCAAGACAATCTGGGGTTTTGCACACAATAGGCTGTTAATGTTGAATAGAGTTCCAGCCCTATGCTCTTAATCCAAATTGACAGACAACTCCATTCACAACCTTTTACTTTCTCCCCTCTTGCCTCATGCAAAGAAGAAGCACGGTTCAATAAAACAGTGTGGCCCATGTATATATTTGGCTACTTCATTAATCGGTGGATGTGCTGAATAGTTAGTAACATTTTTGTGATTCAGTTGATCATAAACAATTTCAGGAAAGGATCATTCCCAGCCAAGTACAAAATTGACTGAAAAATTTGTTGGGTACACTCATCATAAGAAATGACACTATTCACACTCCAATGTTCTTGCACAAGGAAAGTCAACAAGGCCCTCGCTTAATTCTGTACTTACTGCCATCTGGTCGATGTTCCTCCATTCTCCACCCAGTGAGATGGCAGAATGGCCAGCATTGGGTGCCATAACATTGAAGTTACTCATGATTCACTGTAAAAGTAACAAAGCACAAATCTAAACAGATGCAACTGTGCACGCTATTAGCCAAAGGTTAAGGAATGATCTGCAAAGTGGGGAGACCAGGGGGTCACTGTGTCCCCCCCCCTGCCAGCAGAACGATTTTCAAAGTGGGGAGGCCGGGGGAAAGCCACTGGCCCCCCGCCCTGTCTCCCACTTCCGCTACCAGTGCTGTTAACATAGAATAATTCATTTTATCAAGTTATCAAATGCTTTACACTCAGCAAAGAGGTTTTTTTGGCTTCTTAAAGAGGTGGCATCTGGTTCATTGAACTCAGGCTCTGATCTGTGCTTCCATGCTTTGAGAGGTGGTGTACCTGTGCATGCATTATTTCTGCTGAAGTTCCTCGCCTGAACAGTACATGTACGTAAGCATGCACACATTGTCACTTTGTGCTGTTATTTATGCATGATAGCGGGCAATACACAGACGTCAGCTCTCACACTGTTCGTGTGAAAGGTCATGTGCACTGTTTGAGATTGGCGCCTTTAGCAATTCCAAGCTATAACCGTATATATATGGTTTTGGGAGATCCAAGTTTTCTGTAAGTGACCAATCGGAATTGTCGCAAGGGGCTGCCACTGATCGGTTCATTGTGGTAACTTGCAGCCATTCCAGGCTGCTGGAGGTTAAGTAGCAGGAAGTTTGTCAACTTCTAATCACTTTTTCACAGCTTTGATGTAAAAAAGTTTACAAGTTCAACCTATCACCTCCCCAATATATCCACCTTGTTACAGAGCCCTTTGGTTTCGTTGGGGCTACCGTATTTGAGGGTGTATCTTTTGTTTTAAGGTAGAAGTTTTTGGCAGAAAATGACAGTAAAAAAGCTACAGAGCATAAATTCAAATCCTTGGGCCAACTTTTAGTAGGGGTCTCTATTAGTAAGAGCAAAGGAGTGGTGATTTCTCTAATAATGCATGTAGTGCACTTTGATTCTGGTGGGGCTATGTAACATATTCTCCTCATTCTCCAACTTGAGGAAATATGATTATTAGGACAGAATCACATTTCACCAAAACTGGGCATGCTGGCTCAATTATTGGTAAATTAGTTTTACAAGTATGGTGCCCTTCTGTTTCGCTGGGGGCCAACTTTCCCTGGTTCTCCAACTTGGGGGTTAATTCTGTGCAAGGGCCTTAAAAACTTTGGATATTATGTAATGCTTACTGTACATAAAATTACATGTTCAACGTGAGGCAAGGTGTGTTACATGTAGGTCTACTTTGTGGAGGTCGGTTAGTTGACCTGCATCAGGGTCAAAGGACCCTATTGGTTCATGTTATGTTGGTACACATGGTGTGGTGGTTGGTAAGGAAGATGGTAAGGAGGACTGTAAGGTGTCCTTGGTGTGGCCACAATGGGTTTATATGAGTGATAGGGTCTTGAATGGACATGGTAGTCCATTTTACATGTTTCTGTTATGTCCGGTGTGTCTGTCTAGCCGGTTTGCCCAGTGTTTGGTAGCCAGCTCCTTGCCAAATGTTAAAGGTCGTGGTTTCTTCACAGAGCAAGGCTATATGGTTTATTTCTTTTGGAGTTCCTTATCAATTGCAGGTTCAAGTAAGAAATAAATGCAGTATTAAGCTGTAGCAGAAAAGTCAATTATGTTTCTGTTCCCATCTCTGTCCGAGTATAATTACACGCCCATCTGAATGGCTCCAAACTCTCACCTGTGTGCACGTGGGCTTTTTGGATATCCAAGATGTACATGTAGGCCTACTGGGTAACTAAAAGAAATCACTTCATTTTAGAAAAGGGTACACAAGGCAGTGAATGGGGCCCCACATTATTTGGACAATTATCAGGCCATATAGGGCCTAGTCCTCTTCGCACCCACAGCTGTGATACCTCTATTTACCCCATGGAATGCTAGGCTGTTTTATATCTCCAAACAGGTGGAAGATAGGGGACTGTTAGGATTAGTGTTTTACAAATAAAATTTCAAGTTAAACTGAAGGCTATTTCACTTTACTTTTTGATATCTCTGGCTCTGAAGGATTTTTTCTCCCAAGGAAAAAGCCCCCAAACTGCTGTGGGCCCAAATTCTACTTTGCAATACAGATTCTCAATGACAATGTAAACATGGGGACTTGGTAAAAGTTTGTTATTGCAAAATGAATTTCAAATCACTTACCTCAATTTCTTTTTCACTAACCAGGACATTTTAACATAAGTTTTTATTGTTTTCTGGTCACTGCAGGAAAGCATTTGCAATCGCATATCATGGAAATGATGGACTTCAGTCCGTGCATTGCATTAAAATGGAAGAAGCCACTGGACTTGGCCATTGTTGGGTTTACCTGATGTTCACGGCAGCTTTGCTACCACGGTGCCCAATCCCTACATCCAGTCTCTACGTCAGCCTTGAGGCCTTCCATGAACGAGCCAGTGCTCAGTGCCTGTAGCAAGGCCAGCCAGGAGCAAAGGACCGTGACATGAAACTCCACGCGCACGAAGTCAACGCAAAACGTTCAATTCACTGCATTTTTTTCAAACAACTGTGCAAAGGAGTTCATTAATTATTACACGGAATACACAGCTACTACTTCTACAGTTTCATGACAAAGACGACCTCCCAAACGTTGAAATTTCCATTGTTTTTGAGACAAATCGATAACTCCGAAAAACATCCATCAATCAATAACCATCCCACCTGCTAGTAACTGGGTAACGAGCAAACATATGAATCGTGCAGGCTCCCAAATATTCCATGCAAACTAACATAAACAGTCAAAGGGGAGTACAGGTACCAGTCTGATTTGATTGATTGGTTTGAGATAAGCTTGGGGCCAAGAGAGGGCGCGGTCACCAGTCGGATCTGAACGGTACAACTTCCAAAAATAAAAGGGGTCCCACGTGCGTTAATAGCAGTTAAGCTGCTATGGACAACAGTGATAAATACCCCACATAACCCCCCCCCCCAAAAAAAAAGTTTCTCTGGTGTTCAAGACACACATCAAATTAAAGCTCAATTCCTCATCTTTCATTTTTCTTTCAATTTCAGTGGCTTTACCCCTCTGAAACCCATAACAAAAACTTGAAGACAGTTCTGCACTGAATAGGGTGCAAGTGGTGTCAAAACTGTGGCATTATTTAACTCTCCCATAACCCGCAAAAAGTATGGAAGAAACAACAAACAGTTTTTAGTTCCACGAAAAGGTCAAGAAGTGTTCAATTTATCTGGCGATAAATGGAAATATGAATTCAAACAGAACAAAACACTTTGATTTGAAAACTAACCACCTACACCCATTTAAAATTAATCTGTTACTTAAATAATAATAACAACACTGCAACCACATATCTTAATAGTTCTCCATTCAAATAAAATGTTAATAATAAAACTGAACAAGAACGATTGGAGTCAATGGTAAAAAGGGGGAGAATGTCAGAATCATGGATCTGAAGTTTTTATTTCCATCTGCGTAAAATTGCCACTTCCATTATAGTTGTCCTATTCACTCACTTACTACTGGTCTACTACTTGGTCGGCTTGGTGTGTGTTCAACAGTGTTTGACTTGGTTTAGTTTGGTTTGGTTGGTTTGGAAATTGCCTTGGCTATGTTTGGCTTGATTTTGGTGTTGGTTTGTTGCTAGTTTGGTTTGCCTGTGTTGGGTTTGGTTTTATTTTGTTGGTTTGGTTTAGTTGTACATATAATTGGTTTGCCATTTTTGGCTGTGCTCAGCCTGGTTTTGTTGTTGATAGTTTGGTTTAGCTGTGCTTGGCCTAGTTTTGTTGTTGATCGTTTGGTTTAGCTGTGTTTTGCCTGGTTTTGTTGTCCGTTGTTTGGTTTAGCTGTGTTTGACTTGGTTTTGATGTCGATTGTTTGGTTTAGCTGTGTTTGGTCTGGTGTTCTTTGGCTGTGTTGAGTTCAGTTTGGGTGTGTGTATTTTTTGGGGGGGTTTCTTTGGTTTAGTTAGGTTATCCTAGGAAACATATCACATAAGGAATTTACCCACCTGTTTTTAATAGTCACAAGGTGTAATGCACATTCCTTGCAGAGTGACATAAGTTATCTTCTTACTAGGACAGTAAGCTTGTGTAAAATAAATGTATATGGGAACATTTGTACACTGTAAAAGCCGCCAATCAAAACAGAATTTCTGTAACGACCTAGACTTTGTGTTTTTCCTTCTTTGTTGTGTATGCTTTCAGATAGAAGTTTAGGAACAGAACGACCAGGGATATGCAATAGAGGAATACAGCATAGTTGAAACCCATTGGGAAGTCACAATCTGCATAGATGCTGTACCCTGTGTGAATGATGACGGCGAAAAACTGCACCTGCAGAATAAAACAACACAAGAAAAGACAGACGTTTTAGCCTTATGTGTGAACTTAAAAACATTGATAGCTGTTGCCACTAACATCAAGACTCTTTAAAGTTTTGAATCATGTTCATGAAGGTACAAGAAAACTTTTTTCTGGTCAACCTTTGACCCCCAGAAAGAAAGGCACAAAAAAGGATGACTTCAGTGTTATATATTTTCTTCATGTTTAATCATTTCTTGAAACACATACACTAGCTCTCTATCTCCCACAGTTTACAGTTGTATGCTTGTGGAAATAATGAAAAAATGCATGTTGTTCTTTATTAACATAAAACTAACAGGGTTCCTGAAATAGCTTGGAGGGTTGAAATGTTAAAACCCAAATTTTAAGATTTTCATTCACGTTTTTGCTAAATCTTAACAAAATTTTAAATACCACTTGTTGAGGTGTGCTGTAAGCTTTTTTTCTTTGTTTTTGCATTCCATATGCTGGCATGCCATACTCATGCATAGGAGTGCATTGCGCATGCACGTGCCTCACAGAGCCCAGCTGCAACGTGACTGTTTTTAGTGTTCACATGGTCCTGACAATGCTGTGTAAATACCTCCAAAATATGAGTGTTAATAGAGTCTTAGACCTTCAGTTTCTACATTCTTATGTCCTCATGTTAGTTCTCATTATTTGTTTTGCTGTCAGATAAATAGTTAAGGTAATTTTAGTGCTTAAATTTAGGAATTCTTGTTGGGCATATTTGAGTTTCTATCACATGTATAAACTCTGCCACGTCATGTCATGTAGATTCCCTTCATAAATTTTCATGTCAGGCATTATGTAAATTTAGGGTCCCATTTAATACTTGCTGCAGGAGTTACACGTTACTCAGCGGTATGGACAGACATTGAAGGAGCGTATGCTACATGTAGGTTTTTCAAACCTTGTGTATTAACCTTTGAAGTTTGTCACTGTTGAAAATCATCCTTAGACGCCTAACTTTGGCTCTGTTCCTTTGTGACCGTCCTTAAATCATGGAAGCTTATGTTTATTACTGGTTTCTTTATTGTTATATACGGGTCATTCCATGTCAGACCAACACACCCTTTGACCTTAGGTCTTCACATTTTGATAAAACATCCTGTGCTTGTAGCCGTCAATGAATAACAGATACTTGCCAATTTTTAGCAGAATCCGCCCTTCCATGTGGTCAGGGCAGAGATCAACAAAAATAGACAGCTTTCACTTTTAATTCCACCCTTTTAGTAAAATGACACATAACCCTCAAATTGAATTTATTGAATATATGCAAATGTGGTATCAAAATAATCAGAAGAACATGCTCTCTTGACTGATGTTGTGGAAATTTAGCTTTGTGAATCAAGAGTCAAGATGACCTTTGACATGCTTCAGTGAGCTTTGATCCCATTTTAAAAATAAAGTATCAATTTGAAAATTTTGAATCCAAGTGTTTTTGAAAGTATGGTACCTGCTCTAGAGTAATCCACTGAAATCTTTCCGGGATGTTCAAAATCACAAATGTTATGACAGTTTTTCTACAATTGGTCAGCTTAAAATATGTCAATTTTGTATGTAATCCTAATAGAGGAATTTGTACCCAAGCAATGAATGTTCTAAAATGAAATTAACCCTAACGTTTATGTAAAATCATATTGAAATCGGAGGATTGGGACTGTTAATGAAATATTAATCAAATGGTTTTCAGAGCAGTGGCATAGCAAGGATTTTCCTTTAACAGTTTTACCATATCAAGGCAAAGGAGTAGTTCTGGAATCAAGTCGAGTAATTCCAACTCAAGTGTCTTCCAGTTTACTTCTTAGTGCCACGTGGTTAACCTTCTGGGTAGGGGCTTTCCTGTTTGCTTCAAAGCCAGTACATGGGGTTTAGGCTGAGCAGAGAAATTTTGTGCATTTGTAGTCAAAACTTAGGGGAAAAAAGACCATTTTTTGTGGAAAATGCACCATTGGAGGGGGCATTGTTTTATGTAACTTCTTCAAATATATCTGAAAATCTTCCCTCAGATGAAGGATTGTACAATATTGAACAGATAACACAATACCTGAGCAATAGTACTCAGAGCATATGATCTTTGACCTCCTTATCAAAATGAAATAACACAAACTACAAGTAACCCATCACTGTTAGGAACCCTTTTTTTTAACGACCACGCAATGCCTTCCTTACACAACTTGCTTTCACAACAGCACTTGCCATGCCCCCATATTGGAGTAACAGATTAGAGTTTGACCAGTATTAAGTAAAAAGAGATAAGCCTGCCAAGGAAAAAATATTTGTTTCCGGGCTAAAGAGTCAAAAAGGGTAGTGCTTGAAAGCGATTTACAGAGTCAGTTCTGTAGTGTGAATATCATTCAATACTGAAATCATTTCAAATACTTTATTTGGCTTGATTTTGATAAATATGTTCAATGTAAGTAATGCGATTGATCTTAAGCCCCCCTTCTTTTTTTTATTGGGGGGGAGGAGTTATTGATCGAACACACAGAGCTCTTGACCACACCGATAAAGCCAAATTATCTCATTTACTTAGAACTATACCTTCACTGCTGTTTAAGTCTCTGAAGCACAACTTTTTGGCACATGAGGCAGATATCTTACCAACTGTAACTGTGTCATGTAACGTTTCCACCAAAGATATTTCTGCATTCCTGGTCCTAATGCAGCAAGACCATAATAGGAATACATGATGATATGCACGAAGGAGTTGATCATTGCCAAGAAGAATGCTGTACAAAAATAAGAAAAAAACACAATTCGAAATCAAGATATATACCTTTTTCACAGTAGGGAAACATATATTTGTTTTTCTAACTCAACCTTTGAGGCAGCTAGTAAACAAATCAAAGCCTCAGGAAGTGAGAATTAAATTCTTTTTTTAAATGTCTGGGGTTTTCAGGTTTGTTTGTTGGATTTTTGATTGGCCTTTTTTGTGTTTATGCTTACACTGCCCACCAGCCACTAATTTGACCCCAAGATACCAGTTGATCATCATGCTGCTGTGATGGTAGACATGTAGGAACGTAATCTGGTTGTTCTTCTTACGAAGAATGAAGAAGATCGTGTCCATGACCTCGATAACCTTGGAGAAGAAATACCACCAACAGACTCGAGCCATCTGGAAAAACAGACAGAAGTAGTTAGATGTACCTAAATTTCCTTTTTGGGGGGGGTTGGAGTTTTTAAGGGATTAGAGAAATTGTCATAAGAGTTAGCACATGAATGACCCTGCCTTCCTGCTTGCTGAAAGACATCCACAGATGGTAAAATGAGGAAGGAGACGTGCTCAGACATCATCCATGTTTCGTCTGTCATTTGGGCAATTCTTTGTTAAAGCATTTAGCATATCGGTGAGTATTCTACAAAGTAAATATTCTCAGGAGCAGTTTACTGAACAATGCTTTTCACAATGTTAATCTCAATAAGTGATTACTTTATATTTGCACTCATTACAAAGTGCATACTCTTTTGCACTTTCATGACAGCCTACAGGTCAAACTTTAAATGTAGGCCTACATGTACATGTAGGCCTACTAGGCCTAAAGTGTTTTGCAATCAGGAAGGTCATACGACTATTGTAGAACATGGAAAATAACAGTCATTTTTACTGCAGAATTGCCCATTTGTCATGGTCAGCTGAGCTGTCATATGCACAGTGTCATCCACTTTTGGACAAATCATATAAATGGTCAAGAAAAAAATTGTACGAATTTCATCCTTTGATCATGAAGCCAGAACATGAGCACAAATGGACGGCCATTACTGACTATTACCAGCCAGAGTGCATCTGCTTACCCTCAGTCCTAGCTCACTGTTGGAATAGTCAACAGGTTGGCACCCATAGCTGTAATTTGCCTTCCATGATGTCACTCGAAACTGCAAGAGCCCGAGGGGATAATGAAGGAGGATTGAAAGTGGGAACTGGGGCCCAAATTGTAAAATAATATTCTTTCAGGAGTAGGAGGGTGATCACGGAAGGAGTTCAGAAGATGACACCACTTTATATTTACAGATAATTCTTTTGTTAATGTTTCACACTGTTTGTATTAACCAGATTCAAGTCAAAGCCAAACAGCTGAAAGGAAATAAAAAGAACAGGTTCCTCCCAGAATGTGTAAAACAAATTGCTTCTCTGCATTTCAGTTGGTTTATCTGCCAGATATTGAATGTTCAAAAGTTTTAGAATACAACAAATTCCTCTACACCTAACACTTTTACAACCTGACACTTTTACAACCTGACACTTTTACAACCTTGCTCGTTACAATGTAAGCTTGCATATTCCTGTAAATTCTAAGGTATCTCTGTCTTGCACATTAAGGCCTCAAAAAAAAATACATGTAATTGCATTTTCTGAGACATTTGAAAAGGTGGTAGGTGGGTAAAATATTTGGGGGGCTCTAAACCTTTTACCTTGAAATATTGGGGTGTGCACTCATTATTACCATTTAACAAGTGACAATGTCAGATTTAATATCTTACAGTTTAAGACTTTAAACAAGCAATGTATAATCACTGGTTGGGTGGTTAAGTAGTGTTTGAATTTGGAGGGTTGAAAGTACAAACATACAAGAACAGTTCACACAATATAATATCCATGATGATGAATGACAATTGAGCCCCAGGGTTACCACTTTCAGATTTTTTAATTAATTGTTCAACTAAAATGAAACTAATTCTGTGCGATTTTTCCAAGTTGGGTTCGGTAGCCAGAAACACATCCATTTTGTTAAATGGACTACTTTACAGAGTGACAAAAATTCAAGCAAATTTACACGAACCTCATAAAACATATAGATTGACAGGCCCACCAGGAAAAAGTTATAGCCCACCAAGATGGGCTTGAGTTGAAGAGGCTTCCTGTCAGCCATTGCTTTCGGCCCTAGCCATACCACCAGCAAGTAGCTGATGACAATGCAGGCTGTAGGTGTGGGTGTCTTCATCAGAAGCCAATTCTCCACTCTGGGGTCTGGAGGGACGGGGAAACGTTTTGCTAGGCTTAGGAGAGAATTCTTTTGAAAATCCAGGGGAAAAAATGAATACCTTGTGCTATTCTGTTACTTTGATCTCTTGAAAGCATGATCCTTTCCATTCTCTGCCAACAGGTTTCGACTGGAGATCCTACATCAAGGTATTTATGCAAATTAGCCCTTTGATCAGCCAAGTATAAAAACCGCATGGTTGTTCCCAGGGACTGTTTTGAACACTTGGTTGTATTATTTATGTTTCCAAATTCAACTGGGCACACATATGTCAAATTGAAGTACTAGTACAATGGTAATTTTAACATTGATTCCAAGCTGGTATGTAACAGCAGAAGACAGATAGTGTGTACAGTTTTTGCATTGACAATTGATGTAATTTCAGAGACTATTAAAGAGCCTATCAGCAAAACTTTAACACTTCCCCTGCAAACATCCTGTACATTTCATGTCAAGCTAAGCAGTCAAATCCAATTCTGAAGTGACAGAAATGGGCTTTGAAACTAAAATAAATAGACACATTCTAGAAAATTTCAAATTGTATTTCCTGAGAATTCTAACTGGTGAATATATTGTCAGATTTATACACAATAATCACTGACAAAGGTTTCCTGTTTTCTTACAAAAAGTCTGTTTTCCTAAAAATTAAGCTCACCTCCTTTTTCCTGCAGCTGGTCATAGACATGCACAACCTTTGCTCCTAGTCCAGAGACAAACTCCATCTTGGTGACGTGTCCACACACCAGGAATTCACGGAAAACACTAAGCATGGGAATGTCTGATACAGTCAATGTTTGGAAAACCTCTCACACAAAGCTTCAACATTTAGCAGCAAGGACATTCTATGCAGAACATGCAGAAAGGAAATATCTTTCTCTGGCAGCATGCTGGAAATATAAAACGCAACAAACTGTGCACTGTTAGCGTTCACAGTGTTGTAGCAAAACTGACGTAACTCAATTATTAACTTTCTTAGGTGTGAAGAACTAAATTGTCTCTGACGTTTGGTAACTGGAATTATTGCAGCTGCAGGGATTTACATGTACAAAAAGCAGAAAGAAGGGAACACACTTGAATCAGAATGTACAAGCCAGTTGTATTTGATGTGACCATTTCTGTCTTTTAAAGATATTAAATAACTGGTTCAGAGTAAACAAAAACTGAGGGGAAAGGAATCTTGTAAAGAGGGGATGAAATGGAAAACTGGGGCACAGCCTCTCTGAATTCACTGCTCGTTTGACACAATGACAGACATTGCTGCTCAAGCATAACACACGATTTGAGAATGGATAGAGTATCTATGTAAGGTCCAACTAAAAAAAAATTGGAAAAGTTTTCTGAAGTTTAAATGTGGAAACATCAAATGATATACTTAATTTCTTCTTGAAGAAGGGGAGTAAAAGAGGATGTGGAGATTTTTTCTAAATATGAAAATCTTCATACATTTAGACAATCTCAAATTATAAAGTAAGGTTCCTTCTTTAAATATGCACAAAGTGATGAATTATAAATAGGCCTGCCAGTACTTACAATAAAAGATACTTTATATTGTGCCCCAAACTTTCAATAACAGAAATTACATTACAATGTACAATCTTTTCAGGGCAGGAAATGAAAGGAAAATAAAGGATGAAAGTATTCAACTGGAAATATTCTGATGAAAAATGATTTCAAACAAGTTGAACCATGTCCTTCCAACCCAGTGCAGAGGTCATGAAACAGACAAGCAGGCATAAATGAAAAATCGGTTGTAAAAATTCTATGGATATCATATATGGTTCATGCCATTTCATGCATGGATGGGCCAGCAAAATATCTGTCTGGTCGATCGTACGTACGGCTTCATTGGGTCCCTCCCTTTTGGGGGATGGAGGTGTCACTGCTTATGGCACTGCCACTGGTTTGACATGTTTGTGGGTGTGGGTGGATCTAGGGGTCCAGTTGCAGGAATCAGGACAGGCATTTTTTTGGGGGGGAGGGGTGGCCTACTGTGCGTCTAAAGGTTGGAGTCTTATTTTGCATGCATGGTCAAAACAAAATGATTATTAAATTGCCTCATTCCCTGTGTGCAAACAACAAGGTCCCAAACCTCCCAGCAAAAAATGCTAGGTCCACCCCTACAGATTTGTAAGCCCTATCGTTACTGCAATGACATGACATATCAGTGTGTCCACTTCTCTAAATTCTGAAAAATTCAGTCAGATTTTCTCAACACTGCCTTTGTTCGCACTCTTTCGGGGACTGACTGGTTTGGCAAGAGTAACAGAAATGAAGGGGTCCCGAAGTACACAATTCCCGAACAATAAATTTACGCAAGAGTCAAGACTGCGCTGAACTTTTGCATCATGGAGCTAGTAAGTAGTAAGCCTAACGTTGGTATTGGAATTTGGATCGACCTTGATTAGGGCCTAGCAGTAGCAAGGAAACATCGTCAAGAATGTGGCTGACAGCCTGTTTTACGCCGCTGTCGACATGGTCAAACCATGGAGTTTGGCTCTAAAAATGGTACTTACGTTATCTATGGAGCAGGAATCCTAAGTAATGACTTGTACAGTCACGGTGGTCCACTACTAGTACTACATGTAGATCACATGCATCGATGTAGCATTTTCTTTGGCTACTTCGACGGAGTCGTGCGGTAGCAACCCTAACCACGTACTAACCGCCGCGCGCACGCTGCGCTGGGTGCAGGCTTAACGCTTGAGTAAACTTGACGTTATGCAATACTTGTGATTTAAAGGGCTGGAATAATTACGTTGACAGGAGGGCGCTATTCGACGACTGCGCTTCCAAAGATCCTGCAGTAGTGCAGCGGTGCTCGCAAACTGAGTGTCGCACTTTGTCAGAGAGTGCGGGGATATTGTCACGCCTCTTTTCTACCGTGACGATGCGGTCACGATTAGACTTAGATTAGAGAAATTTGTTTCCCGATTAAACTGTGTCCTCTCCCCAACGCAATGTTAATTAACCTGAAGTATTGTGGTAGGTTTGTCTAACAAGTAGCCTGAAGGAAAACGACTTTTTTGAAAACTCATAACAATGCGGGAGAGGGACGTTTCTGTATCGGCTCATGGCCCAGCTCTGTTCAATGTTTTCTCTTTATTTCCTCTCTATTTTAGACAAAGAGGAGAAGAATCTGTGACCTACACCAAGTCATGATGTACAGAAGGGGTACATTCGGATCCTGAACCGAATTTTCGATGAAGGGGCATGTTGGGAAGGGGCCAGGGGGATGGTTTAGGGGAGCACCAAAATTGACATTTCTCTGCGTAACATATTATGGCTTTATGAGGGATAAGGATGAATTATGAGGCCTTTAAACATGCTTTCGGTAGGTGCCTGGGTCTGATGAGGATTCTTATTCATAATGTCGCCGGGGATCTCAGCTCTTTCCATTGAAGTTACTTCTGCTGTTCTCAAATAGACATACACATTCAACAAAGAACGAGGTTTAAATTCAGATAGAACATTTATTGAAATAACATATTCAGAAATGAGACCAGCCTATTTATCTTTTTTTTGAGAGATACCGCGGACGCAAATGGTGATAAAAAGCAGCCTTCGTGCTGAAAATTTAAAGAGCTTTGAAACAGAAAGGGGTTGCTAAGGAACGACAGGGTTGTAGGTATTTCCTTCTGTCAACGTTCCACAATTGAGTATTTCAGTTAATCGACTTTGTGGAAAAAAGTTACTGATGGCACAGCCTGTTCAGAGACACTTTGTGATCACAAATTGGCTCTTATGAAAGAAATTCGGTAAATTTCAAAACAATTTGACAGAATGTCAGCACAGTACGCCATTTTCTTTAATGAAATACTCCTTCGGGAAGAGTCATCACTTAATGCGGATCCCAGTGTCTTGTATCATACGCCAAGTTCCTCTCCGGATTCATGATGTTTCTTGAAAAATTTATTGCATGCTGTAACTTAATTATAAACATTCAATATTTCAAATCTGAATTTCTGTCGTAGAACAGAAGGATGCTATGAAGCCCCTCGGCACAAAAGGGAGGACTAAACTCATTATGGTCTACAGATAAAGCCAAGAGTTGTAAAAACGACCAAACAGGTTGTTGTTGTGATGGGGTTCCAGTGAAACAATTAAATTGAAACATGTAATGAGAAACAAACTTGTGTAAAACCTTGTCCAGTTGTTTTCTGTCGGAAGGAACTCTGGACTGAATAAAGAGCCGAATATTAAGATAAGGCTGTGAACAAAGAAGTGAATTTACCACTGACCAAACGTCTCTGTGGTGAGTTTGCCGCACAACATAATAGACGGCATCTTTTTGAAATAAATGTTTAAGAATTACATCTACTGTAACACTTGATCTTTTTACAATGCAATAGAGCCAATAAAATATATTATGTAGGCTTATCATCCAAACCTTCTATTATGGAACAATTCAAATAACTGTACACAACTGTCTACCATTAATAACGAAAGGCATGTGCAGAGCTTACACCTTACATCAAAGAGCTGATAACTGTGTTTTCTTGAAATGTCCAGATGTGATGAAGTGAAAAGAATGCATCACTTTGTTTTTTCGAAAATATGACCATGGGACAAAAGCAACCGAGACCAACCGCCCAAAAGAGCAACTCAGAATAATATCGACAGTGTAGACTCTCTTCAGCACAGGCATCACTAGGAAGGGGAAACTTGTACTTTTGCCAAGTGGGGGCACTCGACAGTTCAGCCATAACACTAGGCATTTTCATAGAAACAGGCCATTTTTTTAAACACACATTGTTGGTTTCACATTCTTCTGTCTTCCTCTTCCCCGCCCCTTTTAAACTTCTTCCCGCTCTCGCACCGCCCTCGAGATGCCCATTCTCATCAGGTTGGCTCACAGCTTTGGAGAATAACTAAGAACTAGACCCGCATAAAGACATTGAGCAGACATTCCCTTTGAGCCCGTAAGATCATTTTATCGCCCTCTCGTGGTAAGGTTGAAAAGTCCAATGAAGAAACGAAAGAACTTTGTTTTCTGAAACAAAATAAAGATGAAAAATAGCTCAAAGAAAATAATATCATAGAATAGAAAATTAAAGTGTAACAAAATCATCAAAGATAAACCCACTGCTAAGTTTCTTTGGTAATACATGTGTTTTTCAAACCAAACCATGCTGGACGTTATACATGTTGATAAAACGTAAAACAACTTACGAATGATCACGAATCGTAGAAGGCAAATTCTAGTAGTTGTCAAATTCGGCGTCACTGTAAACGAAGCAAAAATGCATAATCTGTGTAATATAATTTTTCTATAGGGTTATTGGCACACCCTAAGAACTTTGTTAAACCCGAAAGGGTCTTTCATTAAGCGATCGACGCATTTTTTTTTACATGTTTAAGTTTGGTCAATTAGGCGCCAATGGTGTAACTATGGCGAGAAGGGGATGAAGCACACGCCTCCGGCGGAAGACCGTGCAGCTGGGTGGCCCCCTCTCCATTAGAAATTTCAAAATGTAGACAACCCCGTGTATACACGCCGCATTTTAGTTATTTTCAATGCCCCTATGCCCCTTCGTATTTCGTCTTACATGTAGTGACGCTACCGTCTTGGGCGATGTGTGCTTACCCATTATCCCAGTCTTCCACCACTCGCTCCAGCATCTCAGGTCGGATCGGGACGAACGGGTAGATGCGTTTCCTGAAGTTCGTCCGGAGGCTGGCCCGGCCCGTGCGCCCCCTCATCTGCCAGTAATTGCCGGCCTCTGAGAAGGAGCAAGCCATGGTGACGACAAGCGCCAGGAGCAGCACAGTCCTCGTGTTCATCGTGTAGTGTCTGGGTGAGAGGATGATGCTGGGAACGAGGATGACGAAAGCACATAATTTAAGATGCAAACTTGAGTCTGTTATTATCAAACAAAATGATTTAATACAGGCTGAGTGCAAGTTGAAGACTGGGTCGGGGGGGGGGAGATTACACCCCGAAAATGACTTTTACTCGAACAAACCATCTGGATATTTATTAAGACACTCTTGAACAAACTATTGGTGAGATTTCTCCAGCCTCCACGCTTCAGGTATCGCTTCCAAGACAGCTATTTGCTCAGTCTTGACTAACACTCACCACACCACACCACACCACACCACACCCACTTAACCAAGCGGTCACTTATCGAGTGACTATCGGAGACAAAAGAAGGATGAGAGATCTCTAAAACCAGTCATACCTTTCTGCGCTAAATTGGGTACTGTGCAAAATCTAATATTTGTTTGGGGAAGTGGGAGAACTGATGGCTATATCGTGCTCGCCAATATTTCTCTAATCGAGTAAATAAAAAGAAGAGTCGCACGATTTTTTTAAAGTGTCTGATTTGTCGAAACCCAACCTCGTTTTGCGCCGGTGCACAAACATTCTCCAGTGTTTGTTTTTCTCCCGTGAGACTGAAAACGACATTTGGCAATCATTCCCAATGGTTTCAGAGTGATAGTAACTTGCTTTTATCTTAAAGTGCTCTTACTTCCAAGAGGTTAATAATCTGAAGCAGACGCGGCCTAGCCGTAAAATGAGAAAAAAATCACATTAATGTATCCTTGAGCGATAATACAATACACACTCGATAAGTGACCGCTTGGTTAAATGGGCGGGGTGCGGTGAGTGTTAGTCAAGACTGAGCAAATAACTCGTCTCGGAAGTGATACCTGAAGCGTGGAGGCTGGAGAAATCTGAAGAGGGTCCTCGAGAACATTTGAGTAGTGGTGAAGTGCCATAAATTCAAATTTTACGAGTTGGGACAACAAGCCTTCCTTGAGAGCTATCGTTTTTGAATTAACTGCACCAAACATTGCATCTTTTTGAGATGTGGACTGATGTGGAGTCAAGTTGAGTACCCACAAACTCCGGTAGAATTTCCGCTCCAAGCGCGCCATGGCAAGCGGGCAAATTGAAAGGAGCCAGAGCCAGACTCGTAATTTTCACTTAAAACAAAATTTGTATTCATCAGAGAGGAACTCATGCAAACACAACGCATGTTTCCTATGACAAAGTTTGCTTGACGGTGATTGCGTTTCTTTTGTGGGTGTCTCTCGCACTGTTCGTTCAATGAGCAACCAGACTGTTTCACGGTCTCCGACACAGAAATGTCTAGATGTTGCAATCACATTAAGGTAACTCCAAATAGATTAACGTTCACCCTTATGATTCTTTGGATCAAAAGAATTCGCAAGGGCCTGTGCTATTAAACAGGAAAAAATGCTCTGTCTCTTCCTGGATGCAAGCCAACTATGAATTTCTAAATCATCTCAAACAAACATTTGCTGCTAAACCCCTCGCGACTGCATGCAATTGTAAGGTTCAAATTACCTAGTAGGGCCTAATTCAAACTGCGAAGCTGGGGTCAGTATCTCAGAATCCCTGCCTGAAACACCGACCTTCGCCATTCACCTTGAAAATTGGTTGCAATTAAGGATAGGTCTAATTTGCTTTATGCAGCTTTTTCTTGGGGGGAGACAGCAACATTGTTCTTGAGAAAAAGGGAGGTCACGAAATTACCCAAAGCCACTGAAATTTCGAATAATGTTTGGGTGCGTGGTATCAGTAGTAACGGGAGAGGAACGTGGATGCCTTGCGCAGCGACTAGATATCTGTATAGGGGAGGGGAAAGGAAAATACACTGCAAGACTTATTATATCCAGTCTTTCTGTAACAAAAATTACATTCCAAATAGTCCAAAGGAGGAGTAAAGGACAGACCTGAACCTTGTGTAAGACCTTTTGCTCTTGTTCATCACAACACCTCATGCGAATGTAATGTGCGTCTTACTCACTAAAGATAATCGTTCCTCTTAACACACCTGCTACTACGATCACTCCTTCTCGATTGCAGGGCAGAAACGAACAATTCAAAAATTAACTTAAGTCACAGTAAGCCCTAACTGGCTGCTACCTGAGTTTTTTCCGTGCTCAGTTCCGCTCTGTTGGTGGCACTCACTCTGTACTGGTTGCGCAAATCAAGTTCAAAGTTCATATACAATATTCGACGTCTAAACCTGTTGAACACGAAGACTACGCAGTCATCATCAATACATTGACAATAACAGAAATCAATTCAAAGATCTTCTCGGTGATCATGTAAGCTTCCACGGCTGGTTGAAAAGTGTACGCGGTGCGCCATCCCCCGGCCAGCATGGGAGGCAGTGAAGGTTGAATTGTGATATAGAAAAGGTCCTCAGATTCGCCACAACCAACCCGTACAACCCCTTTATCCCCCCGTCAAACTGAGAATCCATTCCTCCTACTTGTAATAGGCGAATCATTTTGTGATGTGACTGACATCGTAAGAGGTCGAGATTTTTAATGTGCCATAGGATTTGAATAAAGAGCAATAGTTGAGCCACAGCGACGGTTCTTTCTCCAGGTGGCAAAAATTCCCGAAGAAATAATTTACCCAACGCAATTTAATATCCTCAGGGGGATATGGCTCATGCGCGTTGGACCTTTAAAGGGCTGAAAATATATAGGCATGGTATTTTCCGGTCGATTTGTGATTTTGTCAGCAAATGCATCAAGCCACCGCAATCAGTCATCCTCAAGGACAAGTCCGACACCAGGGAGACTCAGGGAACAAGTTGAGTTTAAGTGAAGTCACATTGCGACCAGTAGGTTGCAGATCAGCACTTTTTGACGTCGTACAAAATCGTTTAGCAAATAGGCGGACGCTATAGAAATGGCAATGCACATTAATCAATTGTTGGGAGTTAGTTCGCAAACTGTGCTTCCTAATATCAATCCAAACTAATGGATCGAAAAAAAGAAAATTTTGTGTCACCTTATGGGCATAAAAACAGTAAATGAAAGAATGATAGGAAAGAGGAAAAAATTGCACAAGGGGTCAAATGCCGTGCCCTAATGGTCCGAAGATACAATCACTAACCGAACATTAAAGCTTAGGCCTACTATACGTCAGTTAAAAGTGCCATCAGATGGGACGCATGCGCATTTTTTGCTGCTGTTTCCATGGCTGGAAGTCGGATCTGTCGTCACCTGCTTTCATTAGACGATCTTTAAAATTCAAATTCGTGCTGCTCTCGTTCTGAAACTAAGGGGACAATTTCAAACAAACCTACACAAAGCAGACAGATGTCATTCGTAGTGAAAGCAAGCGAGCAAGACAAATCATCCTTGCAACATTTCTAGTGGGAATAGTTCTCAGTTGCTATTTGCACCGACATAGTTTGTTTGCAAATTCTGTATGATTGCGTAGGCTCGCATGTTGATAACCGGTTCAGCCAACGTTCGACGTGTCCTTGCCTCTGATGTCGCATTCAATTGTCGGGGTGCTTTCTTACTTGGACGACTAGAATGGAGACTGGGAATCTCCGTTTCGATCACGGGAGTCTTTTTCACCGCGCACTCGTTATGCAAATCTTTGATTCACAATGGAGGAATACATTCTCGCTTGCAGTACATGATTTGCATGCCGAGTTTTCAAGTTTTTGTTTTTCCATGCAGAATGCAGGGAAGGAAATATCAACAAACCCCGAGACGAAAAATATAATAATTCATTCTTTTCAGTGGTGGATCCAGAACCAAAGTTTCGGGTGCCAACACTTTTGGAGGGCTAAAATGAGTATGCCACTATATTTTCGTGTGTGATCTTTGTGGTCCTTCGGAAGTGTGAGGCTAAAATCTGGAGATGTTTCAGGGCGGAAAGAGAAATGAATAAGCACCCGTTGCCTCCTTCTTACAGGAGCATGGTCCAGTGTGACCCCGCCGAGACCAGCAAGTGTATAGTCCTCCACGGTATTACATCCATGATGTCCGGAACGTATGACGCGCACGTCTTTCGAATTGTGCATGGATTTCTACACTTCTATTACATCACACTCTGTCATGATTTCCGCCTGCGTTTACACCAGTAACAGCTTCAATACAGTAATATCGCTTGTAAGGAAGGGGGGGGGCTCAAAGGCAATGATTACTGTCCAGGCCTCCGGTTGCAAATTTTCGTTTTTGTTTTCTTAGAAAAGAACACAACTGAAGATGTGCAATGCGACAGTTATGTTTCTTTTCGTATAATGTTAAGATGTTTAAAAGCGAGGCTTCGGCAAATCTCTACTGGCCCCCATTTGTCTTGACTTCACAAAATGATCAAGATTCTAGATCGAGAAAACAACTTGGGCTTAATTTCCAGCGAATTTTAAGGGAAAGAAGTATATCCCTGTCGACATGCATGTCGGCATCCTCAATGTCTTACTGCACACGAAGGATGGTGAATAGCAGAGGACACAAACTAAAAATACAGACCAATTTGCTTGCTGTAAATCTTCCATTATACTTACACCTAGAAAATGTACTGTCGCTCAAGGAATTTTTTCATGCGATCGCATTTTCGTTCATAATGAGAGCTTTCGACCTATTGTTGTGCAACCGCTGGGATGGGTGTGGGTGTATGGGGTATCTATGCTGTAAAATCTGCGAAATGGATTATAAACCCATCATTTGTCAAATGTACTCTCCTGAACGTTGCAAATACGACATTTTAAATGTATTCTCTCTGATGTAAAGGACAAACACGAATAAGGAAACATCTAAATAACCCCGCATTTGGCGAAAACAACACAAGGATTTCGCTGTTTGTAATTCCAGTATTTCTCCGCATTTCAAGTTCGCGAAGGGTAACAGTCACCTTGAGAAAAAGGTCCATATACTTCCAATGAGCAAGCAGTGTTATTTTTCCCGTCAACTTGAAGACAGAGTGAGCATGTTTTTTGTTTTTACAAAAACAAGCTCCTCGTTAGTGATTGGCTTCACTTGATTAATAGCTTAGCAGACACAAGGCGTATATATCACTTTATTTCACTGTCCGTATTAACAGTGAGACTGGGTGGCCTCTAATTTCCAAAGTCATTTCAAAAGGCGCAATTTGTATGTTTGTTGCCTTGATCCGGGTAAACAAGAAAAGAAATCTTGTTCATGACGCCACGATGAACGGAATTTCTAAGGCGGGAGAAAGCAATTAAAGTTAAATTCTACTCGAATTCGTCTTGTGCACAGTTTCGCAGGGAGCGAATTTTCACTCGTGTGCGGTGAATTGCTTCAAATTTCTTTGGAATTTAAAAGTGTACAAGCTAATTACGGAAAAACATATACTTCACAAAAACGAACTTTGAAAAAAATATACTCCACTTATTGAAAATACATACTTGACGACACTCCAGGGCTTTCGTACAATCGCAATGACAACATTGTGTGTGAAAATAGTTAATAAATCTGACGTCATTTACCCCTGATTTTAATCAAGGTATTAACATCATGAAACTGCAACCTAAGGCGCCTTTCCATAGACGCGTTCTCGGGTCGTCCCCTGTCCGTACATACGCGTAAGTTGCGGACAATTTTTATTGTAAGGCGCCAAACGGCTTCCCGATGCGGATACGAACAGGCCAACTTCCCGTAGGTCCTACATTATTAAATGGAAAGGCTATTAAGGCTATTAAGGAAACGAACCCATAGCTAAAATCTTCTGGGTAAAATCCGGGACCCCGGTCCCCCAGTCTGATCTTACAGACCTCCCTGGGTCCAGAGGTACTTGGAATCAAAGGTCCACGAGATCCGTGAGGCATGTCAATATAAACTCTAGGGTATACCAACTGTTTGCCCTTGACACTCTGATCTGTTTATCGCTGCAGAAAGTCTCCACCGGTTCTATCAAACGAACAAAAATGTCAAGTGCTTTCAAGTGCTTTAAAAGGTCGTATCACCTCTGTGCATTCATTTCAAAATCTTTTTTGTTTGTTTGAGGAATTTGATTTGTCCTCTTTTGCATCACGGATGTACATGCATTTAAGTGTCTTGCGATGAAGTACAGTGAGAATTTAGTAATTTTGCACGGATCTGTTGAATAAGAGGCATCTTCAATATACAAAAAATCGGAATAATTTGAAGTTACCATGCAGATCACAAAAGGCGAAGTTACAAGGCTGACAACTGATAGTCTCGACAGAAGAAGAACATTACATATACCGCCCAGATTACTATAATGATCTTTGAGGAATAAGACATGTGCAGTCCTGTTTAATTTATTTTATCTCGTCTGGAAAATTAGCTGGCAGTTTATGATGGAGTTTGCACTTTTCGCACAGTGCATAACCGGTGTATTTGTGAGCAAGATGTCATATAGGTTTGAATATCCAATCAAATGAACTCCACTTGAAACATACGAGAAGTGCTGGGAAGTCTGTCCAACAAAAACGATGAACTATGACCAGGGCGGTGGAATGATTTATGTGTCCTGCACGCGCGCCGGGGCAGTCACTGGGCTGATGTACCGATGAATAAAACCGACCCCCACAAATCATGCACGAGCCAAGGAATGATACAGGTTTGAGGCGCATCCCTACCGCACCAAGTAAAACGGGTTCATAGTTCTGCTCGATATCCCCATCAAACCCTGAACGATTTGGGGGACTTCGGGAACAAGTACTTTGTTCCGAGCCCCCGGAAGCGTGAATTCCGTGAAATCTAACTATTATCCAGACATTTTTCCCATCACAGTCGTAATAAGAGGTCTTTTTAACCACAAACAACACTGCAGGTCATCAGAAAGAAACAGCAGAAGTCAAAACGTAAAATTTCCACAATTCAAATAGAAATTATGATTTAATTTTTAATTGGTGAGCGATCGTACACCTCGCCGCAGTCTATATTTGATGGATGCGGGCATACGAGTCGTGCAACATTTTGCAATGATTTTTAATGATTTCCTCCCCGTGTGCGATGGTTCAGAGGATGACAGATACTTTTATCTTGTCAGATACTTTTATCAATAAAAGGCAAGCGTATAATGTTTTGGGGACCCGCCACCACTGCTCAAAATCCTTAATTAAGGCGTGTGTTGAATAAGAGGCAACGGAGAGACGTTGAACAAGTATTTTATGTTAAGAAAACCATCCCATTGCGCATCGCTTTTGAATTGTCAAAAAAGCACAGAAATAACTGGACTTTAACTTAAAAAACGCAAATGTCTGTCGAGGTCAGACATAAATGTGCAAAGATCGATGGTTACAAACTGACAGACGCCCAGAATGGAACTTGTCACCTCTATACAGTCCGATATAAATACGAGGACGTTCCTGAAATTACCGTAAACCCCTACTTTGCAGTAACCGTCAGAAACAGCCAAAAATTCCTTCCACTTGATTTCCCCCAGTACACAGGCACAATAAGAATGTGTCAAGAATGTGTCTTTGCCTAGTATACGAGTAAATGCCATATTGATGTCTGACATACCTTGGATTAACACCGAAAGTTCTTGTTTCTATAATTGAGCGATAATCGTTGAATAATGACATACACTTCGAACTAGTTGGAGTGGAAACCCTTCCGGCCAAAGTCATTTTGCTTAATCAGAAGCATAAGGTTTAAAGCAAAGCACCACATCCAAGTTCACCTACCTATCGAAACCAGAGTAGGCCTACCTCTTGGTAAATTCTCCAACTATTCCCGATTTCAGAAGTACCGTACTAAAAACTCAAAACGAAGAAAGTTTCCCCGCAGAAATGGACTTTCTCCGCGTGAAACGTCAAAGTGTTGATCACGGAACGTTTTGGTAGAAGTATGCTGTGCAGAAAGACACCGCAGCGTTTTTATTCGATTGACCAGAAAAGGGGGTGGTGGCAATCGGCGTCGAGCATATTGACGCTGCTTTCGGTGATATCACCACCGGATCTGGTTTTAACCCGTTTCAGCAATATCCACGCGTGCGTGGTTGTGAGAGGGGAGGTACCATGCACAACGTAAATGACACGTGCCAATTTGGCCGTGTAACTCACAGTCGAGTTTGGGGAAACTGCATTGCTGTTGCTGTCTAAACTGTCTGTCAATCGAACCCGTTTTCACTCTGAAGTCACTCCTTCCTTGATTCCCTCGAAGATGAATCTTCCGGGGGGGGTAATACCACAAGACACTACATGTATATAGGGGGCCACGTTCATGACACATGGGCATCTATTACGAATCACATCCATGCAGAATCTTACATCAGAACAGTACCGGTAGTCTACATGTAAGACTTATTCTTTATTGTTTTTGAGTGATATTGAAACATTTTACTTGTTGGGAAGTCCGAAAAATTCTTCACAATCTGCTTTATGTGTTTGCTCACCACGAGAAAGTGGAGTGGATGCTTCAATATAGCCCGCCCCCCAAAAGTGGCGGGATATATACTCCCATCCCTCCAGGATTTACGCCCATGCCTGTAATCGTGGAAGAGGCTACCTTGGCAGTACAAAATGACAACATGTGGCAATTCAGTTCCGATACTCCCCCGATTAACAAGCACCTCCCTCTGCCAACTACATGTCTGTCCTTTAGTCATAAATTATTCAGCCTGAGCTGTGTGCTCCTCGATACTCTCTTCCCATCGCATCAAGTATTTATAGTTTTTTTGCAGGAACTGTGTGTATGCGACGGCGTTCGGTGGAGATCCTCAAGCCAAACTAAAAAGGGCCAACCTGGCGAATTAAGCGCGGCAATTATGCCCGATCGATGGCATGAATTCATAATTTAAAGACTTAAGTGATTTTGCTGGCAGTCAAACTCCACCACCAGCTGTCAAAACCTGGCTGTGCAGCCGTAGACGGGCAATCGAGATCCGATCTGCAATACCCATTGCCCCGGTAACGGCATATGCGTACAAAGGATAGGTGGAAACAGCTGAAACTAACCAACTGTTAACGGTTAAAACAAAAGAGGACGGGAAGAAGAAAAACACCTCAAACTCAAAAATGTGATAAAAGCAAGGAACAGTCACTGGCCATAACATAATCGGTGGTGACAACAGCAAACAAGATAAGCCTACCATAGTTCACACCTTCTTCGATGCTCCATACGCCTAGCGATGCTGTTTCATTTCCCGAATCAAACTAAAAAAAAAACAAACTAAAACTACTATTTCTACAGACTATTCGCAAGCGAGATTTTTGTTCCCAATTTCAAAGTGACGAAGTCTCCCAAACCATTTTATATCAAACTGAAATTTTGTCAATTTTGGAAGTAACAAAGAGTTTGCATGGGGAGAGAGAGAGTAGCGCACGTAGATATGCGTTAAAGTAATTTTGTTGAAAGCATGAATGTACATGATGGGTATTCGATAAACGCTTAAATTTCATAAGCTGCAAGGTCAGAACCGATAGTTTATATATGAAGTAATTTTAAATGTAATAGTTTCATGCAACTTTTATGTTTTAAATACAGACATTACAGTGGTGTACTTGATCAAAGGTAGCGGCTTAACGAAATTCCATGCCTGAAAAAGGGACCACAAGAATTCCATTTGTATTGAGTATAAAGATTAATCTTTTAAATCTAAAAAAATACTGGTTGGTTCCTTTCTAGAAGTCCATGCATATAATAGTTCAGAAGCGATTTTTTTCCTGCATGGATTTCGTGTCAGCTGGGATGTGGGAGAACTCTGGACGACACCTAGCAACAGAGCCCCCTCGAGTTAATCGACGCAATCGAACGCTTTTGCTTTGCACCAGGCGTGTTTTGTGCTTGCGGCTAATCTGCACCATACCAATGCAGAAGCGCTGATGAAGAGGATGTACCAGTAAACACTCTTCTCAACATGAGAGTGCATATCGAGTGTGACTCGTGGGCGTCTCAGTATGCACCTTTGTTCAACAGAAGCCCTCGAAACAACGCAGACTTCAATAAACAGGTGCAAAACACCATACCTGCGCAATGCCATTTTCAAGGTTCAAAATCTTAATGGCCTGAAAGCACATTTTCAGCAGGACTGAAATGAAAGAAAATTTATATTCATAGTGATTCTTTTACACAATGAAAACATTAACAATCCACAAACTGATCACAATTTAAATTGAAACGCCTGAAATCTCCACACAAATATAACCTAACTTAAATGTACACAAGAATGCAAGTGGTTCCTTCAAGCAAAGGAAACATTACTAGCCTCTTTCTAAATTTCTCGTGTCCCTATGCTTTGAAACGAAACGCCTGACTTGAATTAGATTGGGATTGATCTCGCAATAGTTTCTAGCGCTGCTTGTTGCAAAAAAAGGCGGTGAACATGAAAACGGTTGAACTGTTAAACGTGGAGTAGGCCTATGCTTGGTAAACGATTAATGCTACATTGATGAAGCTTAAAGGACACCAGCTAAATTTGCGCTCACAGCAGAGAATCTAAAATGTTGTAATAGGACAATTAATTCCCTATGAAAAGGATATGGTTACCCGTGTCTTGAAAAGGTTGAGGGCTATTTCAGACAATACCATAGCATAAACAAAACAGAATGGAGAAATATCCCTTCTCGTCTTAATAGGCATGTCTCCCTGGCAGGATAGAGAGTTAAGTCGTCTCCCAACGTTTGCCCTTGAGTAGAATTTGTGATCTGTGGGGGTATAATTAGGCCACGAACACACTGAGATTATAGTTTATCTTGCAAGGCGGTATAACATGCTTTATTCTTATTTTATCAACTGGTGTATATTATTACACAACACCCCAACGGGGATGAGAAACGATATGCAACGGTTCCAACAAAGTATGACACTAGAAACCTAAACACATAAATATAAAAATAAAAAATAAATTTATCGCTCTTTGATAAGATCAAACTAAGGTTTAAAATACTGATGGTAATTCCAGTGGTTTGCAATGACACAGCTCATTACGTGTGAAAATGCCCCCGATACGGGCCAGCATTTATTGCTCCAAATGGACCAGGCCCTAAATGGCCGCATCACTGACCTTCTCAGTTTCAACAGGCGCAGTTAATTGAGGGGAAAAATGAGGAAATTTCATGCTTGGTGGTTGCAATTGCTCATACCTTGTGGCACCTTCTGAAGTCATTTTACGTGATACATGTATTGTCACCGGAGGTCTCAGGTGTACGCATCAGATTCTGAAAGCAGCTGAAGCGTGGAAAATACTCAAAAGCACATCCACTAAAAGATTGCAAATGGTTGTCTGGACCCATTTTTGGTATTTTTATTAAACTGCTCTTATTGGCCAATCGTCGAATTAAGACTAGTGTATGTTGAAGAATGTGAAAGTTTCATCATGATGACCGAGAATGTGCACTGCTTGGACTGCTCCAGCCAAGAGCGACTGGGAGTGAGACTAGTTTATGCACATCCGCTGAAGGAATAGAACCAAATATAACTCTTTGCTATGAAAGTTTTTGAAAGTTTTTTTTTCTCAAACGACGGGCGTAATAATGGCTTTTATAATGGACCATGTACACGATGACGATATACCGAGAGGCAATCACCGGGTGACTCGACGTTTAAACATCTTTTGCATGTTATTTGGCTTACATTAAGTAGGGCCTATTGCCAAAACATTTTAGTCACTAGTATTGATTTATGCTATCTTAAAAGAAACACATGTAGTGCAGAAGAGAGTCCTTCTTTTTAGTGCTGAAACTCAGTATCGTATGTCGCAAAATCTTACTTATAAAGAGAAATGCTGTGTGATGGTCTATGTTAGCAACACTCTTATTGGAATTCTTACTTTAGAACGAGTCTCATAAAACTCAGTCTCTCGGGTGTGTCAAAACAAGACCCCACTTTAGCACCCTCCAAATTTGAACTAATCTCTCAAGAAGGTCCACGGTGTGTTCTTCCTCTCAGTTACTGCTTGTGTGCAAAAATCTGCTACGCCCCAACGCCAACGAAAAGTGAAGTTAACGATTTATTTTTTCATCAACACAGAAAATACACCATCCATAGACCAAACTGCCATAAAGTGTGCCGTATCAGACACATAAGGCGCTTGGTATGAATAATTGAATGCAGTATCACGTAGCGCCGCAGCACCTTCATTAATTGAGCTGGCTTATCTAAATTCAGGCCTGTTCCTTGGCGAAAGTTGACCTTTTCATTAATTGATGACATTAAAAACGCAGAAGGAGAAGGTACCCTTTAACACTGTCTACTTATTTGTCTGTCTAAAACCCCGGAAGGTGCCAACTCGCTAAAAAGCTCAAATGAATGCAATTGGCTACCACCTGTCTTGGGTTATCTGTATTTTGCCCTATGGGGCTTTGTAAAATGTCACTTATGGTTAAATGTACCCAGCTATGATGAAGCTATGATGAACATAAGATTAAAAATGACACAGTATAATTGCACCTTATCTCCCCTCAACCTCAACAGACACGATGTTCATGTTTAGGGACAGCTCTTTTCATATCCTGGGTACTAAAAATCACCCGGTGTGCTTTCTGAGCTTCCTGAAGAACGCAGTGAAATTTCAAAATGCAAACAGAAACCTCATATCAAACACATAACGCAGGATGAGCTTGAAATATGGTGCGAACCTGAAACTTGATCTGAGATAAGCAAATTGTTGTGACGTCATCAGTTATCAAATAATTAGCAACTTAAGTTAAAACTTGAGGTTTAAGCAGTACTTTCCAATGATATAGTCATGTTTTTGATGGGGGTAGATCCATTTCATGTGCACCCCGGGGAGCATTTAGTGGGGCACAAAGTCGCTCGGGGCGGAGTGAGGGCACGAAACTCTTTCTCAAGGCCCGTGTGTGAATCTAGAGCGTATTTTTCCCAGTCTCTTAAGCTCAATCTCGTGGGTAAGTATTAGCATGACAGCGATATACCCTTTCGCCCTACAGGGTGTATAT